GGCAGAGAGAAGCTTTGCCTGACCTGCAACTTCACTGAATACACATAAAATTAACCCGCCTACGTGCAATGAAAAAGCAACTTATACTTATAAACATGTGAAGATTTTTCAGCAAGGTTAAAGCAGCAAAACTTAACATACACCTGTTGTTAAATGATAAAGTTTATCCACTACAAACAAATAAACTCTCTGGGTTGCAGGACAACAACTTAAAAAAAAGAAAAAGAAAAAGAAAGAGACTGGTATGACCAACCAGCGATGAAACAACAAATTTAGTGGTTAAGAGTCAAATTGTGAGATGTTTTCTGCTGATTGATCAATACAAGTGATTACTTAAGGAAGGAAAATTCCCATTTTGAGTTTAAACATGATCTTAAGAATTTAAATATGTACCAGTGTTGTCCTGTCAACTTGGTGGCCTATGAGTTGATTATATCGTGAGAAAAAACAAAAAAAGGGGGGGAGAAGGCTGACACAGGGCCTGGCCTGGTGTTTCTCCCCTCTCTGAATAACACAGCCAATACAACATCATTTTCCTGTTTGTCTGTTTTTGTTTTGTTTTTTCTCTTTATGCTTGATAACAGGCTGCTTTGCCGGCCCTGGAAGCCGAGGCTGACCTGGACTCTTGCTCTCCCCTCTACCATCTTCGACGTGACCCTGACCAAATGCTGCAGCAGCTGGACCCACCACAACAACCTGAAAATTTCAACAGTGCTTCAGGAAAGCGATCTCATGCAGCAGGGCGGAGAGTGTTAAACCCAAGGCCTGTTTCACTACACGGAGGAGATTTCCAGACAGCTTCAGCTGACAGAGCTGTGACGGGACGCCCATTAAGCGCGAATGAAAAGTGAGGCCGAGCAATAGAATGCTGACCTTGATAACTCTGCATTAACACTGTGCAGGACAGTGATGGACCAACACGGATGATCGGGCAGCAAAAAAGGGTGTGCCAGAGACAGGAGGAGTAACTGAGGTCAAAAGGCACCTCAGAACGGACAAAAACACAGAAGAAGATGCAGGTTTCACCTGCAGTGAGAAAAGGAGAAAAGGAAAAGAACTGCCCCAATGGGGGCCAGAACCAGGATGGACTGAACTTTGAACAGCAGCAGAAATGGTTGCAAACAGACTGAAAAGGAGGAGGGCAGGACCCCAGGGCACGCTTCAGGCCGTGATTTACCCAAAGCACCAGAACAGGAAAGTGATGAACACACGAACACACAAACACACATCTACATACACTGACTCAGAATGAAGAGAAACACACCTGAACAGATGTGCACTCGTTGATTGAGTGAGAAATGGCACACACACCTAAATCAAAATCCAGATTTACTGAGAAGTGATCCACACACACACACATGCACACGCTTGTGCAATGAAGAGTGATACACACACATGCTGATGCAATGAGGAATGCTTTGCTAACAAATGCTTATGCTGATATGCAAAATGCTGCACACAAACATCCAAATACATAATTTTTATAAGAAGCCATTAATTACTTAAAATGTGTTTTATGTCACCCAGAGGGCATTTATGTAGATTTAAGGGACAAGGTCTAAAACAGTTTGGTTATAAAAACAATGTCTGCGTGATGTCTGTTTATGGCTGCTCAAGGCCTCGACTGAATTGTTTACTGTGCTTCACACAGCCTGATAAGGAGCAGTGGTACAGAGTGCAAATGATGAATTAACGGTGTGAGTTTTATTTCAGAGTGCCATAGTTTCTGTGATTGAGATTTAATTCAAGGAGGAACAAAAGGTGCTACGGTACCTGAGGTTCTCATTCCCACACAATATTGTCCCAGGACGAAACTTTCCTGTGAATTTCTGGTTGATTTTTGGGTTTTGCTTAGCATTAGGTTGATTTTATCAGTGAGGTTTGGGTTGTTTTCTTTCTCTAAGAAAGAGAGAGATGGTTTTATGCTTGAACATGTCTGCAACGGGCCCTAGTAAGAGTTATTTTAATAGTGTTTGATTGGTTACGTTTGTTTTTGCTTTTGTTACAGTGCACGGAGATAAGAAAATCTGAGAGGGGTGAGTTCGTGATTTAACAATCAGCTCTTTAAACCAGGCCTGGAAGATTGAAATTTAAAGTGCTATGAAATATTTTTACTGAAAACAGTTGCAAAGTGTGCTTCTCCATGATTATAATGGGCTCTGGAGAAATTCACTTATATGGGACATTGATCACATGAGATAGTCCTGAGTCTAAAAGGAATGCAGCGAGTCAATCCATACGAAAAAAAAACAAACAAGGAATTGTTTTCCTTTAAAATGATGACGTCATCTTGCTGGTGATGGATGCTCAAATAGGTTGCGCGTGAGACTCCATTATCAGCAATATCTGGTATGAATGTGTGTGGATGTATGTAACTGGACTGTGATGGACTGACGACTAAAAGTTTTAACTGACTGGATACTGAGACAAAAACTGCACTGCACCAAGCCTGTAAGAGAAGGGTGGATGTTTTGTCTTGCTTTGTTTTTGCAGGAAGATAACAGAGACCGGAGGGGGAGAATGTAGCTTCACATGAGACTGTGGAGCTGCAGACTTAACCCTTTGGTTGCTAATTTTGAGTTACTGATGTTTGCATTAAGAAAATTGTGTTTTATTAGCTGTGTTTCGATTAATGTATCACATTATATTGTTGGGAATGTCAAATGCCACAGTGGGGAAACGTTTGATTTCACTTATGACTGGAATATGTTATTACTAACCATAGCAGGCCACTGTAAAAAGTCAATTAAATTTTATAGAGGAAAATAGCCAAAACTTTAACAATATCTATGAATAATAGGGAAATGGTAGATTTGTCACATTCACAATAGAGATATGTAATAACAAACACTGGTCCACGTGATTTAGGTTCTCCCTTGAAATAGTCAATAATTTAAAAAGTAGAATATAACCGACAGGGGCATGTGATAGGATTTGGTACTGCAAAAGAACAAGAGCAAAGTAAAGAAGGAAAACCTATTATGTACCATTACACTCAGAGGATCAATATGGAATCATGATATATGCAAATTCTGTATGAAGCACATGACTGCTAACTGTTCTGTCCTGAGCTTTTGTTGAGCACCCACTTGACCACACCAACAGTTTTTCGCCACCAAAGGGGTAATTGCGAATATTCGAGGGAGGAATATCACCAAAAGTGGGAAAGGTAAGCCCCAATGGGAGTGATAACCTCATGAATTTTACTTATGGTCAAATTATTGAAATTGGACACCAGACATAAAAATTCTTCAAACATTTAGAGACAGAGTGGAGTTCTAGGTAAACATAATGTAGCAAACCACATAAGGATGGAGCGTTGGAATCGATAAGATGGTAAAACAACACTCAGTAAAATGCTGACCATGTTGATTATGTTTATTCCAGTGTGCAGAGATTGGCTAATCTGACCAGGAAATGGTATTGTATTGGATTGTCGGAACAGTCGGCGTTAAAGTCACCTTTTACAGTCCAGACTGGGATGGTGTTAGACATCCTCAGGGTGGAGAAAGGGTTGATGTGACCAAGGTGTGGTTTGGTTTGTTGTATGTATATTTCAAAATGATACAGCTCTGGATGGCCCAGTTACCAGGGCATGGAGGGATGACAGACAAAAAAGGCGTTTTTATATGTGAAGTACATATTAATACAGGTTTTGTTTCTAGGCAATTCTGCGGACACGGGCTCGGAGCCAGGAGTTGAACAGATCTAACATGATAATTAAATTGATTTCATTCCCTAGCACAGGATGACAAGGCTGGAGCAACGATACTGGAAAGGAGAATTTCTGATACTTTCGGAGATATGATGTCAGTAACCTTTTCTTTTAATTTCTAGCTCCAATGAATTGACACATGGGAGTGTGTCAAAAAGGGGGAAGTTGAGTTTTATCATCAAACAATGGTTTTATGAATATTTTTATGACTTTATTTGTGTGTTTAATAATTTAGGTATGGTAAAACTTAAGCTTATAATGTGTTAGAATTAAAAATGGTTAATTTGTTTTTTATTTCTTTTACTAAGCTAAGCGGTTATAATAATTTTCATACACACATTGCAAATGTGCTCGAGTTGACACTCAGTCTTCTGAAGGTCGTAAGCTTCGTTCGGCGTGATGTCCAGACTGATAAATTGTAGGAAATGACTTTGAGTGCAGAGGGCTAAATGCAAACACGCTTACACATACATAGATTATGATTAGAATAAGTCCCTGGGTCAGGAAATCCTGAACATGATGTGCCTTGAGGCGACATTTGTTGTGATTTGGCGCTATATAAATAAAATTGAATTGAATTGAATTGAATTAAACCGATTTTGAATCACTAGAGGAACAATGGATAACAACATTAGATTATTAAGGCTAGGAAGAGAGGTGTTTTGGTTTTCTGTCTCTTACAGAGAAAGGAACAGACACCAGACGAGGTCACACAGAGACGAGGATCCTTTGCAGCAGAGACAGACACAGAGACTGCCAAGACAGCAACTGGGGTGAAGTGTCATGGTGTTTGGGCTCCGACTTGTCACCTCGAGAGGATGGATCCCATTAACACAGCAATAACCATGAAGGGATTGGCGAAAATCCAGAAACACCAGACCAACGAGGTTCGAGAGGATCTTGGTAAAAAGGGGGACACAGCGGTGACCCCAGAATACACAGATCTTTGTTTGAAAATCGGGGCAGAATAATCTCCTAATCTGTGCAACAACTGAAGGGTGGTCTAACCCCTGAGATCGAAGAAAGAAGAGCAGAGAATCACCCGACTGGAAGACACTGGTAGCTGCAGCAATAAAATAAAGGTTAAAAGCTCCTTAGACAGAGGTTCTAGTCTGAGTACATTTGAAAGGTATAAGGTGGCACCAAAATGGGGGTGGGACACTGCAATGTAAAATAAAGCTGTGGGAGAACTGGAGAGTGATGGAAGTGTCATCTGTACCTACTATTGTTGTTGTAATGATAGTTAAACAGCCAAGCAGTTTTGTATGAAGAAGTTCAGTGTCTTTTTTTAAGTTGAGGTGGTCGTTGGTGTCACATTTCTAATCATTTTACAAATGACATGCAATTACATGACTCTCCGAAGTGTCTGAGCATTTCTCACATTCTTATAGCTTCAGCCCCCCTCCAAAGTCATAATACCTAAGCATCCACATTCTTTCTCTCTCTCTCAGTGAGCCTAAGTTATGATCTTGGCTTCCTGTGCAGTATGTTCTGTTCTTTTCTAATCAGACAAATAAAGCCATGATTCTCTTAAAAAAGTATTTCTTATAATGCAGCAGTATCATGCCTCATAAAATAATATCATTCATTCACAATAAATCAGCAGTCTAATGTAATACAAATCAGTTTAATAAATGTAATAGTTATCACCTTCTTCAAAGTCAGGAAAATAATGCAAACTAAAACTACATAAT